TTTTCAAAAACTAATGGTCTGCCCTCCGTCATATTCATATCTCACGATATTTCATGAGGAAAGCTGACGACACGTAGAGGTGGTACGAAAAATACGGCGGTTTTCAAAAATACCCAACCCCATTTATTATGAAATATGAGCCTAGAGAATTCGATAAAACGTGTACACGTTTCCACGTTTCGTTGCAGTCTCCCTCCAAAAATCTAATCGCAATGATCAGATATCTGGTCCCATGCATACACAAGAGGACCACCACATCTGTTCCACTCAGGTGCTTCAGTTGGGATGGTCATGGAACAGATCTACTGGCTGAGTCGCTTAACAGCGGTTCCTTCATACCAAAGGTATCTAAGACCTATCGTTGTATCAGATTGTCTCGTCTTTCGCAATGCTAAAAAGTTTGTTTCACCCAGATCATCTTGCAAGGTCACTCCACCACGGGCTTCGACATTAATAAAATCCTGAAGAAAGTTGATCCAAGCGATAAAACATTGGACAAGTCCATGGGAATCGTCCATCTAAACGGTAGTATATTATGTTTTCCTCACGCGAGTTTCATGTGGAACGTCAACACTATCAGCAACTTGACTGCTGAGTCCCTAGCGGCGATTGATCTGTATCTACCTAAACTTGAGTACTTATTGCTTGGAAGTAGCCGAACGATTTCTCCTTCGGTTGTGAAGGAAATTCGAGATTCACTCCGCCAGACAAACAGTGAGCTCGTTGTAGAACCAATGGATTTGGCTAACGCAATGGGGACATTCAACATACTCAACGCAGAGGATAGAAGAGTCTGCGCAGCTCTAATTCTCCACCAAGATGATAGCGACGAATCAAACTAATTTCTATGATGATTGAAATCCTCTTGTCCACTTCACGGATGCTGTTTCTTGGTTCTTTGCCTCGTGATGTTTGATCTTCTTTTTGAACAGGGATCCCTTCCTCTTTTGGTTTGCTACAGGTTTCCAGGGTACAGGAATGGCTAGACCGGGTGGAATGCTGTGGAGCTGATAATCACCGTATGAAATCCTGATCAGCCGGGTGACACTCACTGGAGGCAATAGACGAGAATGAGTTTTGGACGACCTTACCACAGGCTCATGACAGTGTAGGATACTTACTTCCAAGAGACTGGAAAACTTTACGTATCTGTCGGTTTTGACCCTCTGTTGCTGTAATTTTTATCCATGTGTTGGACGATTCTCGTGTGGCTTTATGCCGCCTCTCCACTTCGACCTTCATCGGCTGAAAACCAGAGAAACCATTTCTGATTCTCATGAGCTGATTTCGTCTAAGGCTGCCAAAAATTCGTGCCCTGTAGACTCTATGAATTTTGTTTGATGGCAACTCAAGATCCCTGGCAAAGTTACCGTCGTTTGTTACCAAAATTAAACCTTCTGTGGGAATATCTAAACGGCCCACTGTTTTGAGATGATCGTCGTGCCTTCTTCCTACACCTCCTCTTTTCAATCGTTCCAACATTGAAGGTCTATTTTGTGGGTCCTTCTCGCCAACAAGTTCACCAGAAACCTTATTCACAGCCCATACTCTTGGCACCGTTTCTTTTCGCTTGATGATTACCGGCTTTCCCTTCACCTTGACCGTCACGCCCCCTTTCGTTATCTCCTTCCAATCATCCATCGATATCCTGGGATGCTCAACGCATTTTCCTTTGATTGTGACACCTCCTCTCGCGATGAGTCGTTCTAATTCTCGTCTTGAGTAGTTTGTGCTGCTGGAAATTAGCTTTGACAGGCTGGTTGTGTTTGAAAGCGATGTCAATTGGCGTGAACAACCACATCTATATCTTGAAAGCAGCCCAAGACTCGATATCTTGGAGAGCCCCCAAAACATGTCCTTCCAAATCTAATGGCTGAGCTTTTATCAGTTGGCTTGTTCGATTTTAAAATGGTTCTGTTTTTGTGCAGAAGCGCAAAATGTCCTTCTAGAGAGTGAAAGAGGTCCCCCTTTTATCTGAATGAGGCTCTTGTGGTGCTGGCTGCTGGCAGTCTATGGCTATCGTCTGTAGTTCGTCCTTAACGTCTGTCAGTCACACGTAAACGGGCGAAAGGACTGACTGACTCTGACATTCAACATTCCCACATCAGACATTGATCGAACATGAAGACATGAGACATTTTTGTCTCCTAAAGGGGTGTGTCTCCAATTTAAATGTCGCTGAAGGGGGTGCCCTGACTGTATTTACTCTCACGCCGGTAGGACCACAGAGCACAATACTCTTGTGTTAAGATACGAGCGATAGATTGAGATAGAAAATGAGTACTCTGACTATGCTTGAGCTTTGATTTGAATTGTAGTGTCCAGGTAGTCAGGATCTAGTGGATCGTCCTTGCAAGCAGGCATGAGTTCTTCGTAGCATTTTCCGTTGCCATCAATCTCAGTATCGTATTGAAAGGTGGGTAGTGGTGGTCGTTTTATTGAGTCCATAACCATATCGGTATCCCAGAGAGGTTTCTTGACTGCGTCCCGGATCTCGACTAATGCGCCCCTTTGTCCAGGGACAGCACCCGATACATACAAAAGATCGCGACCTCTATCAACCTTTACCACTCTTAGATTTTGAACGGAAACGCGTTCACCGCCCATTCGACCTGCCATTTTCTTTCCTTTGAAGACTTTACCAGGATCCTGACATTGTCCGGTCGATCCAAGGGCGCGGTGGCTCAACGAAGTACCATGAGAGGCAGGCATTCCAGAAAAGTTGTGTCGCTTCATGGCTCCTTGAAATCCTTTTCCTTTAGAAACTGCTGCAACATCAAGGTTTTGCCCGGGGACGAAATGCCTGGCATGAATTGTGGAGTGCAGTGGCAGCAGGTTCTCTTCATCCGTGACTCGAAATTCTCGAATAATATAGGGTGGCATCTCCTTCAGGTCTTTACTTTGATGAAACTGGCCTGAAGCACATTTTCCGACATTCTTTGATTTCCTTTCTCCAGCAGCTACCTGTATTGCAGAATACCCATGCTTATCGACCGTCTTGTGACCCATGACAATATTTCGGTTCAACCAGAGCACGGTACAGCCGTGGCGAACACCCCAGTCGTCCCACACAGGCATCATTCCAACTTTAATGGCCAGCGCACCACATCGCCTGTCTCGGAGAGTCCAGATTTGATCGTCGACGTACTTTTCAGGCATCAGTTCTCTTAAAAACTCTTCCTCACTGTACGTCTTGATCAGCGGACGTTTTCTTTCCCCTGGTTTCCAATTTGGAAAATTCTTCGCAGCTTCTTGCTCTTTCATCTTCTGCTCTTCGTCGTTTAGGATCTTTTGCATCTCATCCTCAGACATTTCTTTGTCGCCACCAAAACCGTAAATCTTCATCAAAGATGCTGATTGAGAGTACCAACCACGAAGCTCGGGAACTTTTACGGCCTTCGGCATTCGACTATTTACAGTCGCTTTCAACACTCTGGTAATGCTTCGAATGCATAGCATGTTGTTGGAATTTGAAAGGTAGATGAGATCTGGGAGGTTCAGCACAGATGGTGTTGAGTGTTGAGGGTGAGGTCTGAGGTCTGTGAGGCGCGTGTTGTCTACTAGAGGTCTGGACGTCATCCCACAACTATTTTTACCTTCTCGTACGAGTACCAGGTACTACTACTACGGGATTAATATATCAAGAGTAAGGTACAGTAATAGACGGGTAAAATCGTAGTGGTATTGTCTAGTTCCATCATTAACCGATTCAACTGATGTGATTCCTGTTCAATTTTGGGTTGAAATGTACCCTATCTCATCCTAATCAAGAGTTTTTTTGTTTTCCTCGATTGACAAGACTATACTCTTCCGCAGTCTATTAGAGGAAAAGTCCTTAATTGCGGCTGCAACAGCAAGCATTCGCGCTCCTTTCTGCCCTTCCTGATGTTCCTGCCATCTATGGATGTCATCTGCATTGACAATCAAAGCACCCATATTGCCAGGAGCCGAAACAGTGTTTAGCGGTGGATAAAACTCTTCAAGCAACATCCTCTGAATCTCAGGACGAAGAACAGGTCGGAGATGAAACGCAGAGTTGCGCCCTCTGCCAGTGATGATCATCAATTCTGATTTTTTTTGCCCCTCTGGCATTGTGGTCAGCTGTCTCATTGCAACACGAACTGCGGAATGTGCCAAAGCAACATTGAGGCCATGTAGATCCAACACCATTGCTTCGGTCCCAGGACGGAAAGAGTACCCAAGATAGCCGCTTGATACACCAGAGACGTAGATCTCGTCTGCGTCGTCATATAATCCATTCCGATGTAGAGCAGTGCATGCCGCACAATATAGCATTTCTTCTTGCCCTTCGCCATCCTGTTTATTTCCAAGAATCGAAGGATGATTCATAGTTTCATAGAGAAGATCCTTCGCCTCGTTGCCTTGTCCTCGTGCGCTTAAAACTCGGACGGCAGACAAGACTGCCTGAGGCGGAGCCCTTCTACCACTCCATGAAACCCAATCCTTGATTGCACGGACAGCCCATGCGTATTGAGACCTCATCTCGAGACAAGCAGTTGCATGTACTAAAGCTGGGACCAACTTTTTGTAATTTTTCCATTGCAATTCATCATCACCCGTTCCAGAATAGGAAGGATTGGTTTTGGAAACGTATGGTCGCAAGAATTGAAGCGTATTTACACATACTCTCCAATGTCCAGACTTTCGAGCTGCTTTGATAACAGAAATCCAGTTTGCTGGTCTCATGTGAACACCGCTTTGTTCCAGAGATATCTCATCGATGACGCTGCGAGGCATGGCATCCAGATCATGTTCGGAAGGTAACACTTCTAAATTTTTTGGATGAATCTGTGTTGCTGCAAAATGTTGAATGTCCTTCACCAACCAAAGCGCAGCTGTTATGTTTCCCTGGTATGCACACTCTCGGAGCAAATTACTTTGGAGATCACACAGAATTTGTTTGGAATTCAATAGTCGGTCACTTTCCGACACGACCATTATTTGAACAGAACGCAGAAGTTTTTGCGCCATCCACCACTGTTCTGCCATTGCACATGATGTTGCAACAAGTTTCATGGTTGATGGCGATGGCCTACTAATAGCTGCAGCAATTCTGTAGGCGTTTTGAGCAAGCTGCTTGGGAGGCATTTTGGCAGTCTGATGTATCACATCATTTCCACCCCTAATAATATTAATTGCAGCTCGTGCATATGCAACAGCAAACTCCTCAGCGCAATCTGAATGCGGTACTATACCCTTGCTTTTCATGGTGTGAAATCCTCGGTGAGCATCTACGATGTTATTGTCATCAAGACATACAGTAGTGGCTTCGTAGTAGTGAGTATTGCTCAGCTTCGGCAACCAGTCTTGACCCAACCATATACCTGTTTTTGTCAGAAGTTCACTCTGAAATTCAACAAATCTGACATCTTCATTCAACGCCGAAAGAAATTTTGGAAGCAACTTTGAGTTGCCGCTTCTTCCAACAATTGTGATTATGTGAGATGTGGTGTCATCACTAGGTTCAATGTCATGCTCTTGCATCAGCGATACTATACTTGTGAAGTATTTTAGGCTGCCACGTGATGCGGCTGTCAAAAGGGCACTATTGAAGATGAATGTCATCGCATTCGCGGCCTTCCCCTGTAACGTTTCCAATGACCTAGTGATTAAAAGATCGTCATCAAGGCACCTCAGGAGCAACCGTCTTGTTCTCTTTCCAGAAGGCGATGCCATTATTGCGTTTCTGTAAGTAATGGCATCTCGTGGGATCCCATTCTGCACCATGTCATCAAGGAGTGAGATCAAAGACTCTTCGGAAGGCGGGTTTTCTGTTCCCATGATAGATAACACGATATTGTAAGTGACCGTATCCGGTTGTAGATTCTCTGATCCACTCGCAAAGTCACTCTTCATTTGCTCAAACAACTGCATTGCGAGCTCTACGCGACCTTTGTTCGTGCGTGATTTGTTCCGCTCAGGGTTGTGGTTCCTTTTACGATGATTCTTCTGGTCGTTGATAGCTAGAAGGACAGCATTGTACACCCAAGCATTGGGTGCAGGAGCAGTTGGCCCATGGGCGGTTGCACCCAACAGTGCTCTAGTGTCGCCTCGCATCTCTTCCAGTAATTCAAGGGCTGCCTCGAATTCTGAGCAACGCGCACAAGCGACGATTGCAGCGGAGTAAACGAAGACATTTGGCATCGGTAGGGCTTTTTCCTTTGACATTCGTCTTAAGAAACCAATCGAATCTTTCCAGGCCATTGGATTACCAGAGGGGTCTCCAATGCATTTAACGACAAGCGAACATGTTATTTCATCCGGAAGAATGTTTTTCTGGCTCATGTCACCAATAATTGCAGCTGTAATCTCTGACCCGTTTATATGTTGAGGGAAATTCGCCGCCGCCTTTTCATGCAGCTTGAGAAGTGTGGAATACACATGGTTGTTCCAGCGGAAATCTTCGAAATCAAAGACATGCAAAAGATCAACAGCTGTATTCCATTGCCAAGCCGGAGATCTCGAGACATTTTTCAACCTTGATTGCAATGCTGAATCCGTGCGTCGTGACTGAGGGACCGATTCTCTTTCCTGTTTCTGATCAGCATTGATGGAGTCTCTCAAGATCGTGAACAATGTGCTGGCGGTGTAAGCATCAGGGATAATGTATACGTTTTCATTGCATTCATTTGTATGTTGCATAAACATGTCGATGCTTGATCGAATACGACCCAGTTTAGCGAGAGCTTTCATGAAGATGTTGAGCTCAAATGCGGTTAAGGGATGTGTTAGAATGGTTTCGCTGGAAGTCGCGAGTGCCCAAATATGCTTCAATTTTGAAGCATTGGCCTTTGTTTGAGACAGTGAATTCAAAGCTTCTCCGAAGATTCGTGGAGATAAGATTGGGTTTCCATTTGCAAATTTGACGCTTGATTCTACAAGATGTAGTATCAGTCTATAATCTCCACTTTCTCCTGCAGTCCTGGTAGCCAGCATTAATGCTTGTGATAGGTTTGAAGGTAGATCCGAATCATTTTGGGCATCGATAATCGGATTGTCTCTCAAAAAGAAGGAAAGCGACTTCGCGGTCTTTGGATTGCGTTGGCTTCTATGGTTTTGTAGATTGTAAGAATATAGCGAAAGGCGGTCCGACAATGGTCTGTCGTGGTCTTCGAGTTTGCTGTAATAACTTGGAACAGAAACACGAGCGTCTCCACTCTTCCGTATTCTCCAAGGCTTCCCCTGGGACAAGTTCAAGTGACGCGCCGTGTTTATTTGGTAAAAAAATGCATGAACTGACATGCTATCTTGAACATGAAGTACATGCGATGCAATGGCCATACTGACCATTGCATTCAGAAGCTTCGAACATGTCCTCCGTTTTCGACTTGTAGAAGTGTTTTCCAAACATCTTTGTGTTTTCAAGCATCTGTGAAGTTCTTGATTGTTAACGACGTCTGATTCTTCCATCGTCTGTTCCTTCGCTTTCTCATTGACCAAATTTGTGCCCATGCTGTATTGGACAACTTTCTGCACGAATTCTTGTGATGTGATGTAATGTAATGTAATGTAATGTGATGTGATGTGATGTGATGTGATGTGATGTGATGTGAATGATATGATATGATATGATATGATATTGTGTACTGAAAAGAACGAACAACCGATTGGAACAACTTGAAACTGTTGGATGGCAAGTGGTCAACTTAGTCAAAATCAAACAAATCCGCAGCGTTAGCGAGATACTGTACTGTAGGTATCGGTAGCCGGTAGCACAAAGCATCAATGCAATTGCCATGGTTTCGTGGCCTCTTGTCCTGTTTCAGTGTCGCGCTTGTTTCAGGTCTTCTAGCATCTCATCAATCCTCGCCCCGGAGATCTTTCTTCGCACTTTGTAGTCACGGCGCCGCTAACATTCAAAATGTGGATGGAGCAAGGCCAAGGATTATCGAAAATGACTTCGCAATTTTCATCAATCAATGCAGCATCCAAAATTTCCTCTTCTTGATGGTATCATTGAGAGACATAGACACTGCTATTTGGCTCGAGCAGAACTTCACCAAGCCAGTGCTGAGAGAGCGCAGAAAAAATAAACATGGAAAAGATAAGGTGCTTCAGAATATGCAATCTGCTTTCGACCGCGCGACTCAAGGTGGTTCAAAAGACGAAGAGATCAAGCTCCTTTCATACCACGGTCTCTCAGCAATCAATACAACACTTTTCCCCTCGTGGAACTCCTATTTCGAGGCGCTCTTGGAGGAGCAAGATGTTACGATTGTCAAATTCGAATATGAGATCGACATCACGCCATCGTCACTATGCAGTCGCTTGATCAGTGTAAGAGAACAAATAGCACTGGAGTTTGCAAGAGACTTAGATCGAATTATTGATATTTCCAGTTCCTTTATTGACGATTATCATGAATTCAAGGCTAATGGGCAGGGCAACGACCAATATCGAACGAATCTTTTGTTTCTCTATCAACCAATGGACGGAGAGCCTTTACCCTCCCCCTTACGGAAAGGAAATTTTGACCTTCTTATGCTTTTCACACTACAAGAGAGCATTCACCGCGTCTTGAACACTGCCGAAGACGATGCTGATCTCACGTTGTTGAGGAATATTTATGTTGAGAAAAGAGACTCTTATTTTGTGGGATCGGTGGACTATGGACGAGCTGAAGATTTTCTAGTGGAGCTACTAGAATCTTCATGCTCTGGCCATCTACAAGATGAAGAGGTCGCAAGTGTTGATCCACTGAGAGTCGTAAAGTTAGTTCTACACACACAAGCCACGATGGCTATGGAACTAATTGAAGTCGCTCTTGAAACACCGAACGAGCATTTGGAGATCAGAAGACGGCAGTTGCAACGGTTGTTGCAAATCGAAACTTGAAGTTCTTATCCAAGAGGGACAGCCATTATACTGAGTCAATCTGATGATACATGGCTGACAAGTGCAGAAATGCAATCTGGAACATCCGAGTACCAAATAGAAACGAGTCCGATCATTCTACAACGCTAGTCTTTGATTCCCAACCAATCTCACAGCTGTTAGCCTCCACGATAATTTCGTCGTCGTCATCATCATCCTCATCATATATAGTATCGAACATGGAATTTGTCCAATTTTCTTTTGAATAGCTCAAAACCTGCTTTCTTTGTAGCGCTGGTTCTTTCTCGTTCACACACTCCTCGTTGTGTATGGGATTACGACCAGGCAAGATGACTACATGCTGAGTGCCAGTGTGCTGTATATCGTTGTAGCCATGCATCCTCACGAGAGGAAGCGGCCGAGAGATCGTTTCACCTGGTCCTCCTCGATGAACAACTTTTGTTCCGTCCATTTGATATTTCCCCAGCGGTACGTTTTCATTTTGTTCGGAGCACGCTGCTAACGTTTGCATAGTCTCGAGTTTCGCCTCAGAAGGGAAAAACTGCGAACCACAATTTGAGCCACGAACAGGGGTGCAAATCGAAGGCAAAGACTTCATTTTCCTTTGCATTCCTTTCTTTGCCTGAGCGCGAAGTCTATGATTTTCTTCGTCACATATTGCTTTTGTTCCAGTTCCGCAAAACGGCAAGCGAATATCTGGTACACACACATTGTCACTCCTGAATGTCAGTACGCCACAGGCAGCCGTCCATTCAATATGAGAACTTGTCACAGAGTCATTATCAAAGTTGTCTCTGTTGCTCTCGACCGATGCTTTGCCCATGCTATACTTCCCATCGCTTTTGCATGTACTAGACTCGAGCGCAGATGAAGCATCTATGTGACATTCCAAATAATCATTTTGTTGATCTGTATTCTCTGGTCCAGGGATACAAGGAATGCAAGAATGTGACTTAGCTTCGCTTCTGCTGCATTCTGAGTTTAGTCTCGTGAGACAAGGTGCAAGATCGGACGACGAGGCCTTGTTCCGTTCATGATTTTGCCTGTTCACATTTTCATGGTCTATTGACCGATCACTGAAAGCGTTGGCGTCCAAGGAAGGCCGACATGAAGAATCAACTGATGCAAACTTATCATGAATGTCACAGTCTACGACTTGACTTCCTGTACTGACATTGCTGTGTGCCATACTTCTCTCCCCCTCTGTGATTCTAATCTCGTCGATTGACGTTAGGTTGGGCATCTTCTGCAGTATATACGAACGTTGCATTAGCCTGGTTGCCGACAAATCTTGAAACTGGCTGTCGACTATAGACAGATTTTCTAGATTGATCAGAGTTTCTGCAATGATATCAATCCATTCTGCAAGATCAAATTCCCTCTTGTCCAAGGGTAAACTTAAAGAACGAACCCGAAGGGATGCCTGCTGTGTTATTCCATACCGTAGAGCCATTGGGCTTATTGTCCGGTGCAATACCAGAACTCTTCCAGTCTGCTGATGATCTCCGGCTTGTTCCGATATGGATTCCCAGCGTTTAGCAGAATCGAATAAATGTTCGTGCCTTAAAAAGATATCTTCATCTCTGTTCGAGAAGCGAGGGGATGTAAACACTAGCTTTTTCCTTTTCTTTCGGCTTATTGGAACGGTGCACCCGTGGACTGGACTCTCCTCGAATCCTGGGCTTGGTCTCAGCATCTCTACTTGGCCAGCGCTGTCACTATGCGAATCTAAGCTTGTCAGCCCTTACGCCTATAGTTGAACTACAAAGGATACCAGTACGTTCAAAACAGAATATTGTGATCTGTCAACAGTCCCGCAAATCATCGCCAGCCGGCCAACGGCTACTTAGCGTGACGTACAGAGAACCGACCGCGTTCGAAGCCACCAATGAAAATAAAAATTGAAAATGGTACTGTACGGTACAATCTTCAAGAGTCTCCTGAAACAACTGGACAATCCAAAGTATCGAGAGTTAAGGCTGTACAATAAAAAGAAAAACAGAATGGTATTGAAGATGACTGCAGAGAAAAATAAACAACCACACAAGGCAGGATCGGGCGCAAACAGAAAGGGAAATAGAAAAGCAGATGAAGGGAAGAGTCCATCTGGTATGAAATGCGACCGTCATATTAAGGCTCCATCGGGAGCGGCAACCTATCTTTTGGATTGGGAACGACGAGATAGTGAAGACTCGACATGGAAATTCAATAAAAACACTCAGTCGTGGCTTATTAGGCACATGTATGAAGTTGACAAGGTATCAAAATCATCCTTCGCCATACTACTGAAGTACTTAGAGGGTCTTAATGGAGATTCTGCAAGGTCCCGAATCAGATCTGAAGCTTCCCGACGAGCACTTCGATATCGGAAACACCAAGAGAAAGGGAGCGAAGGAACGACGAAGGAGAAACCTATGCGTGTAAGCATGAGTGGAGAAACCCCATCGACAGAAGCTATGGTGTCTGGTTCCGAGACTGTTGAAGTTGAGATGGACGAGGAAGAGCGGTGGCAGCAACTCTCAGAGCATGACAAGCGGAAAGAATACAAGAGAGCTCGAAAAGTACTCGAGACGGTTGTTGTCAAGTAAAATTCATTCAATAGAATAATCATGGATTGGTCGTACTCGGACATTCAGCGAAGACAAATGGGACACTTGCCCAAAAGCCGCATGCTTCTGACCTAGGCACTTGCCGATGGCCTGACAGCAAAGCGATTTGGGACCTTGGCGAGAATCGTGACTCATTTCGTTGTGTTTCTGAACCTGACGCGTACATGTGCAAATTCGAAAATGGTCCAACTTCTGCGGCAATTGGGGAGGGATTGCCCTGTCGAAGATGTTCATGCTGACAGAAGGGCATCTCTGGTGGTCATGCATTTGTCGACACAAGAGCAAATTTTGTAATTGTAAATATACCAACCCATCAAACTAGGAACTTCGCTGCTTCTTGTGATCCACCAATACTGCAGCGCATAAGATAGCCTTGAGGTTATAACAGCCGTTATTCATGAGCCAGACTTCCGAAAACTCAGCGTTCATGAGGCCCATTCCGTAAACCTGAATGTAGAAAGTCTGTTTTAACCGTTTTTCTACGTTGATTTTTCGCAGCAGATACATCCACACTTACGGTTGGTACTGGTACTGGCCCATCACGTAAAAATGTCAGTACGCGCCAGCCGAATACTTCTTCGATCGCCAGCCAGTATGTGTCACGGAGGCAACCAGATCATGAAACCGAACCGCCCGCGCGAAGCGGGCGTTACGGATGAAGAAATTCTTTCAACTATAATTCGCGGTTAATTAACCGCGAGTTGAAAAATTCGCGGTAAATTTAACAGCGAATTCAAAAATCGCGGTAAATTTAACAGCGAATTTTTCAATTCGCGGTTATTTAGTAGCGAATTTTTCAATTCGCGGTTAATTCAACCGCGAATTGCGTGATGTAGAATCACTCTCATTTCTTCCTCCATACAACGATACCATGCAATAGAATGGTTTGTTCCTCAATCACAGGGTTTCTTCCTATGTTTGGATTGGGAAAGTTGTCCTCTTGAGAGCCTCTAGAGAGAGGAAAATCAGCTGTTCCAATAGTGAAAATGCAAGTGTAGTAAATAGTCTTCTATAGCATCATTACTACGTTATAGATCTATGATTCTTCCCCTTGACTTTGAGAGCGTGCAAGTACTTCCCTGTTCTAATCTCCTGGTAGTTGCATTCCCTGAAAACATTCAAAGAAAACTCCTTGCAATACTGTTTTCGTTAAGAACGGCATAGATCTTGATATCTTACAGGAGCTTATCTTTTCCATTCTCGTCCATGGCTTGACGCAGAAGCTTCTGGGCATCCGATCATTGTCAATGGATATTTTGTAGTAGCTTTGAAAGGATGTTACTGGATGGTTGTCGACGAACTGTTTGACATGAGCCTAGTGGTCCTCGACGACTCTGCTGATCTTCTGGTTTTCTTGCTTCTGCAGCGCTGTCAGTCTATCAGCAAAATATTCAGAACCACATTGTTCGACTTCCTATTTTTCTCGCCGCTCATGTCACACACCTTTTGTAGTCAACTTTTCCCCATCGAGTGGGATGGGGGACAACAGGAGCGGTTGCAAGAGATCCCATAGAATGTCTTTTGCCCTGCTGATTTTTCGTCCCATCTTATGCTCCAAGATATTGTTCGCCTTTTGTAACTTCTGAGCCTGGTAGCAAGCTTCTTGGGATCCCACTTTTCCGATCTCCCTTCGTACCTGGTAGACTCCTCGCCCATTTCGCAAATCACTTTCAAGATGACTTTTAGAATCATGTTGTTCCCTTCATCATCTACTTGTTTCCTTCATCACCTAAGGCTTCTCTATCGCGCGACAGATCCCCAGTAGTTCCTGGATGATTTGTTTCGCCCTGCTGGTCTTCCAGGGCGTCTCAGGCTCCACAAACACCATTGATGGATTTGTTTGGTTTTGTTGCTGAATTTTTAGAATATATCAATTCGCGGTTAACGCAACGGCGCTTTTTCAATTCGCGGTTATCACAACGGCGAATGGAGGCATTCGCGGTTAAATAGCCGCGAATTTCTCAATTCGCGGTTAAATAGCAGCGAATTTTTCAATTCGCGGTTAAATGTTGGAGTGTTCGCGGATAGACCGATCATTGCGGGTGGCACCACCATGTGTCCAACACGACCCGTTCGATTTGAAGGAGGCTTGACCAGCTCGCAAAGGAATGTCCTGGCAGGCGCGCCACTACGTTTTTTACGTGACGGGCCTGTGCAGTGTAGAAATTCTTCGAAGAACTGATGTCGTTAAGTAGAACTCGAGGCCCATCCGGCAAAATGCTTTGCGCGGATCTCAAGCAGTCCGCGCATGTCAATCCGGAATCTGGAATCTTGATATCGGATCTTTTTGATCCCGCAAACAATCCCGCATAATGAATTTTCAAGAATTTTCAGAATTTTCAAGATTTTTCAAGATTTTTCAAGATTTTTCAAGATTTTTCAAGATTTTTCAAGATTTTTCAAGATTTTTCCCTTTTTCCATCAGCTTTCCCCCGTTTTCCAGATACAGAACAATCTGTTCATCCCCATTCGAGAAGCAGACAACGATTTCTTGACCAAGCCACAAAAAGAACAGCCACTTATGCCAAGAACGCGGCTTCTTGCAGTTTGAGAAATTCAACACTTTTCGAAGTACTGTATCGTACCAAGAGAGTTTGGTGACGTTACTAGTTGGATACGCCTTCCTTACTTCTAGCTACTGTAATAGACGACTGTCACCAGTAAAGCACAGACGCCTTCGGCGTCTTGCTCGCTCGTCGGGCAGAGCGGCAGCGCGCTCATACACGACAAGTTCGACTAACCTGATACGTACGAGGGTTTGTCTCCTATGTTCACCGCAAGTTCAAGACATCACAATGCAGTTCTTTGATGATATCCCTTGGAACCTTCAGCTGAAACAATAACGATCGGACCACCACGTTTTATCAAACAAAACAGCAGGATCCCCCGTCATTGCAGCGATGGCTTCTAAACCACATAGCATTATTAACATTGCCAACTCAATGTTCTCTGCCAGGACGTTGGGAGCACAAGCAGCACAGAACAACACGGACGACCGACTAGATGCTGCCCATGCGTTGCTCGGTGTATCACCCGCTTCTTCAAATCTTTCTCCCTCGCTTCAATATTTTGGTAGTATAGAGGAGAAACAATCGAACTCCGAACCCGCTCAATCTCATGATTCATCCATTGGACCTCAACGATTGAGATCCAATTCTACTGGCTTAGAAGCTCTTGCACTATTGGCGACTGAAGAACAAGATAAAATGGAACCAGTTGAAATTGCTTCTAAATCGGTTCCGAATCGTCCCCTTGCTGCGACAATCTTGTCTTCGTCTTCAGACGAAGATTCGGAAGCAATGCCACCTCCACGCCCTCGCCCGAGGGCTCTAAGAACTCGAAGAAGAAGTGTGTCAAATCCTGAAGGCATGGAAAAGTGGTCTCCAGAAGAAGACAGTCGATTGCATTTTGTCCTCCCTGCCTCAATTCTCGAAGAGGAATTGGCTGAGGCAAGCGCTGCTATGAAAGCGAAAGAAGAAGAAATGGCAGGACAAAACGAGGAATCAAATGCTGACGAGGAGGAAGACGACGACGAGGAAGAAGTTTTGAATGAGGATGAACTCTTGCGTCGAGCGCGTTCAAGATTACTTGAAGATTTGAGCCAAGGAAACTTGAATGGTGAAAAGGGGGTTTTGACTCTTCCCCATTCTCTGGAGAAATATAAGCAGGTATGTTGGCGAAGGCAAGCTTGCACTTTTTTGAATACTTTTCGACCTCAAACTTTGCCCCTTCATTTCAATTCAAGGTATATAACAAAAATGGGCGTATTGGGATCTATACTCCGGCGGAAAGGTCAGCCATCATCAAGCGATTTCAAAGCAAAAGAACTCGTCGGGTTTGGAACAAGAAGATACGGTACAATTGTCGCAAAAGCCTCGCTGATAGGAGAATGCGGGTGAAGGGGCGTTTCGTGAAACGATCTACAGAACAGCAAGCAAGATCCCGATCGAATACAATTGGAGTTACGCCAATTCTAGAGGCGGACGAATCTAAATTTGTGTCGCCAGAATCATCCATTGGGGAGACTGCAAAAGACGCTGAAATGCCTGATATTGCTGACACCGATGCTAGATTCTGCCCAACTAAGTATCAGCCATATCGTCGAACAAGGCGACATACGATTACGTAAGTTTACCAATACTGAACTATTTTGGTCAGTAATTTCAGAATTAGCGAACGGACGACGGAAGGACAGATTCATTCGCCTGCCATCAGAAATGTTGTGACATATCATATGCCGGTACCATACAGTAGCAGTATCATTCCAAAATCTGAAGTCGCATTGTTATAGCCGTTACCCTGCCTGTCATATCATCTATGCCAAAAGCAGCAAAGAACTCCAAGTTTAGCAGAATTTCTCGTCGCTTAGCGGCGGCGGATCCGTTACCCTTAAAATCCGAGAGGCTTGGTGCACAATCTCAGCAGGAAGAATTGACCGAAGGAAGTGAAAACCTAAGCAGGGGTCAACGAAAGCGGTTGGCAAAAAGAGAGCAATACAAAAAAAGGGAGAAAATTATTCTTTCGTCTTTAAGACTCAAATCATTGGAGGAAAAGAAAGGAATCAACGGCTTGGATTCAATACGAGAAGCACTAATCAGGTCCACCAAAGATAGGGTTCAAGGTGCTTTGGAGCCCAGGGCTCAGATGACCAACAAGAGCAAGCGAAAGCTTGTCTCCGAGGAGGTCCATCATATGGGATTAGTTCTACAGCATCCTTCGTTCAAGGCAAACCCATTTGAAACAATGCAAGAGCATCTGCGAAATACGCTAGCACAACAGAAGGCAGAGCTCGAGTTGAAAGCAAAAGAGTGCTCTAGTCAGGAGAAAGTTCAACGTGAGCTAAAGAGAATGCAGAAGAAAGAAAGACTTCAGGGTGTGAAGAAAATCAAAAAGAAATACAATGCAACGAGGTCAAAGTATTAGATCCTCGTTATCTCCTAGTTTCCTCTTTCGCTTGCTATCAGGAGCATATATGTTTTCTCTATCATAAAATGATCGGAGCAGGGCGATTGCTTCATTCTCGAGGATTCCAGAGGTGATCGTATATCCTTGCGACACTTTGGAAGAGGACTGCTTCGAATAATCAAGGCTCTGGTTGGCACTTGATTCACAAAGTGACTCTTCTTTTCTATGCAGGTGCAACAACGAGCCGCAGCCGCCAAATCTATCATTTTTGCACCCAAAGATGACCCTTTTAATCCCCACTGTAGCAAGTGCCGACGCTTAAAAAATTGCTTGTTAGTACCTCTCTTTCGGTGTGCAACATAAGTACGGTGTGCAGTAGACTACGTACAGCACATTATGCAAGGTTCACAAGTGACATATAGCTCACAATTTTGGAGCACTTCGGGTGATCTCAATTCTACGTATGTCTTATTTTTCCAGCCAAACTGGTTTTTCCAGTGATTAGGGTTACCAGCGACATTCACCCACCTGTCTTCCCAATGTTTTTGCCTAGCTTGGCGGTGTTGAAATCCACTGCTTTCAGCATACTGTTCCATTCCAGTGTCAAGAGCCAACCGCATTTGATCAGAAGATGTTCCAAGAGTGAGAATTCTATCAATTGCAACGATTTCTGCATGTCTTGTTGCATCTCTTGTGGCGTTTACTTGGTTTGCTCCATGTGAAATGACGACCGATTCATAGCCCCCAGGAATGGACAGGTGGTCCTTCAACACCAAAACGCACCCCACAGGCACTTCACCAACAGACAATGCTGCTTTCGCTACTTGTAAAGCCATGACCATGTAATGAGCATCATCTTCTTTTTGCTTCTCCATTGGGAGCTGCAATGTCTGGAGAAGCTGCAAGATCAAGTTTTTTGGTAGGTATGGTTCTGCGATTTGATGAAGCCGACCGCTTCGACTACGACCACAAGAGAATAAAAACAACAGAACTGTTCAGGCGCAGGTAAATTAACCAACGAGCCGAACAAACAACGAGCCGAACAAACAACGAGGGATATATAGAAGTTAACATTAGTATCAGAGGCCGCACGCGCAGTAGACTTGTCAGGGAGAGAGGCTCCATCATTTCCATCAGACTGGTGTTTTTTGTCTGCTGCTTGTGTGAAGTCCTCGAGGAAACGCAAACTGACGATAATAGCGGAACGTACAGTAAAAGGTCGATGTGGGTATGCCTTCTGCACGGTTTGCACGTGTATGGCAATGTGTACCCGAATTGGTGCAGGAACCTGTCGTCGATTCCAATCAATTGCAACTATGCTAACTCTATTTGACCGCACGGCGTCTTGCAGTTAAGCCCGTTTCAACTCCGCTCTCCTCTGCTGAAGTTTCAGCTAGCTTTTCCCCATTTTCCACATCCTTTTCGTTCTTGTCACGCTTCTGGGTTTCCAGAATCTATAGGGAGCAAAATTAGATATTCCGGTACATAAAAGCGTGGAAAAAAAAGGACTTACTTGCATCAGCTCTTTGCGAATATGTCTAGTGATGAGAGTCATCATAACAGTTGAGAGCGCTGAAAGAACACAAGTTAGCACATCAAACAACAAAAGAAGAAGAATTGCATGGAGAGCATTACCTAAGCCAGCAAGCAGAATTCCTTGATTTTCCTCAATCTGTTTGGTTCCTTCGAGGGCTGATGCAACATTATTTCCTTCAGGGGCTCCATGCTTCATAAAGGAATGGGCAGACGCTCCAATAAAAGTATATAGCAGGTAGAGTGGTAACGAAGCAATCTTTGCAGTAGCGAACGAGGCGAGGCGCATAGACGTTGTACCACACATATAGCTAACCAGCCCAAGCGGCAACACGGGCGTCAGATAGAGCATGGACATTATCTTGAAACCTTCGTTGGAAGCCGCTGTTTGGGATACGCACATAATCAGACCGGCAATGGCTTCGACAGTGTCCTCTGGGCACGATGAAACTTACCGACATCAATTGCATCAAACAATGGATATTTCCGGACCCACTTTTGTACTGTATCCCTCATCAAATAGCGGCCGATCAAGAAACAGCTAACAGCTCCAAGTAAAGATCCCGTCATACTCACAGCTGTTGCAACAAACATTCCTAATTTCCAGCCGTACAGGCCTCTGTAAATGTAGCCGCAACCTATTGTAAGTGGAGTTCCAACTGGAACCATTGTCGCAACTCCTGCAGCGATTACTATAGATATGGCCCACAATCCCAATCGAGGATGCGATTGTACCCATTGCAGGAATCTGTCGCTGAAATCTGGCTGTATTAACCGATCTTCTGGGTTCACGAAAAAGGACTCGAAGACAACGATTGAAACGAGGAAAACCAATGTAACTGCAACCACCTTCCTTGCGCTCAATTTTGGTAGCCAACGAGTTCTTCCATTCTTTTTCTTTTGCTCCACATCATCTCCAAGTGAGGGATTCAAAAACTCTGAGCTCTTTTTCTTGGATAAAGTTTCTTCAAGAGGGAGGAAAGGTGGGTCCGTTTGATTTGCCACTTTTGCAGGTCGCATGACTGTGATGCAGCAGGTATATTCTGGACTGGTAATTTGTAAAGTGAAGAGGGCTACAGTAGTCACGGGATACAGTAAAAGGATATGCTGTACTGTACCATATTCGACTTCGATGAAGTACTTCCTTAGTTGCGCTTACTGTAAGCGGAATAAAAACGTGCCGACTGTGTTGACAAATTCAAATTAGCCAAAAATTCGATGGGTCACTAACGCTGGACCTTCTTCCTTGCTGAGAATGTTATCCTACCGGAAAATCGCTCGAGAAATGGGATGTGGTTGATGTAAAATTCGGATGCAATCGTTTTTTTCGTAGCGTTTCTATTCATATTTTATCAGATTGGGGGACGAAAGTCACTTGTGCTTTGGAACGTTGTCAACAGCTGCTACAGCTTCGATTGGTTACGGGCACTATCAATTGAGAAAGGCGGCACAATCATCGAATGTGAATCCAAGCCTCCAGTTGGAAAAGTGGCAGGAGCATGGAATTTCATGTCAGTCGGTGTTTTCTTGGCCTCTCAAGCTTTGCCTCGCAGGCAAATTCCAGTATCAAATTCTGGGGGCTCCTCATTGCAAGTTCGTTGCCCATACGACTTCACCGGAAAAAAGGATAGAGACAGTTCTGTTTAAGGCATCGATCGAGTTACTAGGTACTCCAGGAAAATGGATCACCACCTCGTTGTGGAATATTTTTCGCTAATTCTTGTTACCTTAGGTACCCTGGTCTTGGGTCGATGGGGTAGGAAAGATCCTTTGGCAACCAGCGTCACTGTGAGACTTTGGTGGTGCGGACCTTCATTAGTGGCGTGGCTTGGAGGTGCTCACACGGACAGCCGCTTTCGACGATGTTTGGGCGGTCATATTGATATCTAATGTGCCTTCCTTGGCGCTCGTGAGTGGGAAGCAAGGAAGCGGGTCCTGACAAGCATTGCTATCTGAAACAAAAGAACTGAATGCATCAGCATCAGTTGCTGCCAGCACAATCTAGATATTCCGAAGGTTCAGATAAATAGTGACCAACATGCTCTCTAATAGTTTGATTGCGTCGCACCACAGTCGATTTGAGCCCTCTTTTCTCATGGTGTATGTTCTCAATCAGCGTGCCATTGTTCTTTTTCCTCCCTTCCAGCCTATTTGTACATTAAACTGTTTGAAAGTCACCGAACGCTGGCGAGAATGCACAAAATATTGAACTACACATCAACAAGATGGCACGAAGAACATTTACTTTGGGTACTACAGTCAAATCCGTGTATCCTACACTCCAGAAAACAAAACTATCACATAACAAAGTATAGCGTATCAACAATCAGCCATTTGCAGACATCTGGCTCTTCCTCGATGTATCCAAAATGTCAACGATCTCTTCATCGGAGAGGATATTTATTTCTTCTCGCAAAAGTTCACAGACATCAAGCATACTGGGACGTTTCGGATTATCGACAAAACAAGATCCAAGCAACGAGCACAGTTTTTCACCCCATTTATCGTTGACCTTGGGACGTCGACCACCTTTAATGACAGACTTTTCGAACATTGCGACGTTGTAACCTTCGTATGGTGTTTCAATCGCAAAAATCTGCCAACAAAGAATACTGAAGGAATACGTATCTGCTGTCTCGTTGTATGTCTTTCCCAGGGCAACTGAGTTGCAAGATATGAGTAACATATTTCGCAGATGAAGGCAAAAACTAAATACTTACCTTCAGGTGCCATATAGCGTAACGACCCAGTATCTCCTGTGAGGTTGTAGGTGCCATCCTCCAAAATCTTACTTTCATCAAGCTCTTTGGCAAGGCCAAAATCAAAAATCTTGACATCACTGTAAATAAATTATTCGTCAGCAATGATAGTTGAAGAAGGAAACGTCATATTATGAAACTTACCCGCGCACGTCGAAACCAATGTTGCTGATTTTTCGAGCGGTAGAGATTCCATTACACAGTTAATACAGGAGAGTCAATGCTGGAAATAACGACGAGAACACTTACTCAGGTTTCAAATCTCTGTACAAAATTGAAAGCCCATGAAGATAGCTTAGGGCACATGCAATGTCATAGGCTATGGTCAATCTCTCAACCCAAAATGCCTGTTTCTTCTTTCCTTTCATGTCGAATAATTTCAAGCCAGACTTCTTCCTTGATTTCCACTTTTTCAACCTCTGCGGCATGATGTCGTAGAGCTTATCCAACATAATAAAGTAGCGGCCATGAAACGGATCTCGTGCTTCCATGGCTCGCATTTTGATAATGTTGGGGTGTCTGACAATCGCAAGGAACCTCGCTTCAACAGCGAGATCGACAACGGCATTGACGTAAACTTGAGGATCCTTCCGTGAAGCATCTTGCACCGTCTTGATGGCATAACGAAAATCTTTTCCTTGTCGGATACAGTGCTGTGCCATAAACGCTCGATCTTGAACAATGTTGTGGATGTAATGCTCGTCATCGGACTTTCTGGCCCCAGAACCGTCGTCACCTCCTTTCTGCAGAACAATTTTATTAACCTCCTTCACCACACAGAACCCTCCCCTACCTAAGACTCGTCCAATAGAAAGTTCTGAAAAGACTATGAGATACGAACCACTTCAATTTATTGGTTGCAACTCGACAACTCACCACCAACGTCAAATTTCGGTATCCGTGATTCCAGCTCTGCATCCAATATCTTGGAGTCCTTGGTCTTTTTTTCAACCAACCCTTTCGCTACATTTAGAAGGTGCCCTTCGCTAAACTCTCCAATCGTCTCCGTCATGTTTTTATCCCGCTGTCTTCTCTCTCAATGGTTTGCAGTCTGGTGCTGGTGTTCATGGTTCCGTCTTCCGATCGCCGCAGGGAAGATTGAAGTTATGGTCGTACTAGTCCTTCCAGCCACTTCTGTTGGGCAGAGTGAGTCAGAGCAAGGCCGTCACTCGACTAGATAGAATAAATGTGATTGGCTGAAATCGGAAGACGATCAGACGTTTTATGACTATGCCTCGAAAGAAGCATTCTTCGGTCTTGCCGTCAATCCGAAATTGATGGCACTGCCTCCCAGCCGAAAAAACTCCGTCAATCATCTATTTCACACTCAATTACATCGGTAGAAACTGCCTTGATGCCTTACAACTATTCCTCGTCTTCTACAAGTTTTTCATCAACATCTTCATCATCATCAGACAGCAGCGATGATGCAATGACTCTTGATCTGAGAAGGGACTTGGTTGAACATATAGACAGATGGAGTTGCAATTAAAGTGAGTTGCAATTAAACCTAAAGTAATATCCTATTTAGAGTACTGCAACATCATCAAGTGAAAGACCAGACCCTTCAAGCATGTTTTGACTTTCTTCATTGATCAAAGCCTGCAGCTTCTGCTTCTTGGAAGGTGGCGCAACTTTCATCAAGCTACGGTAGGTCTTCAACTTATTTTGGGACACCATTGTTTCGCACATTGCCTGCAGGCTAGCGGTACTTTCTTGAATTTGAGTGGCTAGAGTGTCGATCCGTTTTGCCACTTCCTTATGTCTTTCCTCATGTTTGACTTCTGCCAGCTTCCGATAGGCCTCGCGGGAAGCTTGGCGGCGTTCAATGACCTCCTGGACCTTTGAAAGCTTTGTTCCCTTGGGTCTACCAGCCTTTGATCCCGGAGAAGGCAAATTGGCATCTCGTCCACAAAGATTATTGGCAGCCTCGCTCTCAAAGTATCTCATGTCTTTGAGGATTTTCCATGCATCGTAGAACCTCCATTTTTTGATGTCAAAGTCCTTGAATTCGTGGTCAGCGATTTTCTTGGTATTTTCAATGTAGAATGCGTAGGCCATATTCAATTGCTGTTTCTCATCAACACCGGTAGGCTTTGCTCTATCTACTGCCATTAGAGCAGCATTGAACTTGGGGCATTTGGCCTTGATGGAGTCGCGGAGGTAGTTGGCAACTGTGTCACCATTTCGATCAGACCACGTTCCACAACGACGATCATCACCAGAAGGGGCTTGCTTCGTCCATTCTTCAACAATCCGAGCATGGTATGTAGCGCCAGTTTGTTTAACCCCCTCCACTGGATCTTCAGAGACCTTACGGTGGGCAATCGCCAATGCCTTGATTTCCTCTTGTGACCAATGGGGTGGTTTCGCTGATCCAACGTTGGCCATGGCTGATTGTTGAAAATGTGACACTCGGTACTGTTGGAAATCGGTTCTGGCGGACATCAGACTGCTTGTCTTCGTCCAAACCCATTGACAACGTTGTGGCCCATCAAGCCATGATTGCCAACCAGCCGTGCCAGCATGCGACCCATCAAGTCGTCATGCATAGGCACTAACCATAGCGATCTCCGATCCGTCTAATAGGAAATAATCATC